ACTATTTTTAAAGTTTTTAGAAACCGTAATGTATTACTAGTAGTGTGTGTCACACCATTTTTTGAATGCATGCATGTTGAAAAGAGACGGAAATTTAGTCTCGTAATGGTCTCGTAATGGTCTCAAAAGGGTCTCGGTTATCTATATCACTACAAGAATACATGTGGAAAAGAAACGGCGATTTAGTCTCGTAATGGTCTCAAAAGTGAGACAGAATAGAGACCAATTCATCAGTCCCATTTATTTCGTCTCTTTTCATTCGAGACGAAAATATTCCGTCTCTTTTCATTTAGGATGGAAATGAGATAACTTTGAAAAGAGACGGAATTCAGTCTCTTATTTGTATAAAGTCGGTCAAACATGTCACTTGGAATTATTTGTAATAGAGACCAAAATCTGTCTGAAAATGTAAATATTAAAAAAATAAAAATTCTATATTTCTAGGATTAGTGACACAAACTTGTACGGAAGAATTAATACTAGGTAGTTCATAACAATAATTAATGCTTTTTGAACGGGACATTTTTGACTTTATTTAAGAATAAAATAACACAACGAAACAATGCCTTATACAACTTCAATATTGTAATACATGTCCACTATGATCTAAAACAAACCACAAAAAACAATAAATTGTTTTCTTATAACTACAACAAAAAAAACTCAAAGCAGATTCATATTCATCATAATCCAAAACAAATCACAATAATTCCAGTGATTTGATCCTCTTCATTCCTCACGTGGTCAAAACCTCCAATTACATCAATTAACCCCCAAGAGTAAGACACAATTTAAAGAAGTGTACCACACTTCATCTAAGACAACGTCATCATTACTTGTGTAACTTGTATATCTTTTATTCTTCAAATTCTTCTGCATTTGCCAAAAAAAACATAAATGTATTTAATTAGAATATAAACTTGTTACCTACTAAGTAAGAAATGAAAGAAGTTGAATAATTACTCATTAATTTTTTTAAAATTTCAATTCTTCATGTGATCCAAGCAAGGGCGGACGATGGTGATGCAAGAGTCGCCTTCAGTAAGCTCAACGCCTGTTAATCAGTAGCAAAGTTATACTTTGTAAGACAAAATTCAGACATATATGCTTGATTGTAAATTAATTAATTAATGTAATAATAAATGAAAATATGAAAAAAGTTACCTCTTTCATACCAACACTGACCAATTGCTTTTCTATCTCACTGAAACCCACATTCACTTCCCTTATTAAATAAAAACTTGTTAAAAGAGATAAAGGCTTCACCTCAAGGTCATCAGGAAGACAGGAACCATGAACACAGACGGTTGCAAGGCAAAATTATTATTGGTTCCCCTCGGTTTCATCAGATTAGAATTAGCAACACGTTCTTCCAATTTCAGAGGCTGCTTCTTGCTGTTATGATACGGGGCAATCTTAGGGTTTTGTAAGGTAGATTTCAAGTCTGAAAGAAACCATTTATCCTCCAACTCCAACACACTCAGGTACAAGTTATCAATGCATATTAACCCTGAATGGCCTTCCAACACATGTGCCATCGATCCAAGAGGAGTTGTTAGAAAGCTACAAAGGAAATCAAAGAACTCGTCTGTGGCTTCAGCAAATAGAATCTTGTTTGTTGACTTCTTGGTTGTTACTTTAAGATTCAATGTAGTAGTTGTAGGAAGATTTTGTTCTGGAGTTCTATGAACGGCTGTAGTTATTGAGGGTGACAATTTGGAATAAAACATTGATAATGTACCAAAACAGGAGTATGGAAAATGATTAATTTTTTACACTGAAATAGTATGTGTGCAAATCAATTGGAAATGGGGAGTACTTTTATTAATGATGAAACAAGAGGCAAAATCCCATTAGAAGACTCATAGGCCATGGCAATGGAAAAGGAGAAGACCAAATCAAATTAAAACTCCTCCTAAATTGACAACGTGACATGGTGTGTTTGGTCTATAAAAGAAGGCCAAGCTCTCCTTAATTCACTTATGCCTCACCATGAGAAGGTAAAAGAGATAAATGGGAAATTCCGCATTCTTATTGTGAGAAAATGAAATTGGCAAAGCAAAAGTTTTGTTTTGTTAAAAGTAAATGCTTAGGATATATTAGCCTAACGGTGGATTGATTCACTATTTGGTTGAAAATGAGTGTACATAATGAATCTACGAACTAACAGAAATGGTCAGGGATCCACTCAAACCGTGAGCCAGAACTCAAAAGAGGAAGAAGGATCCAGACAACTAGAACTAGATCTTGAGAGAGGAGGAAAGCTTCTAGTCATACATAGTAGTATGTGAAATTTGCACTAAATAGGACTTAAATATAATGACTTTCCTAATGTAGGACTTAAACTTTTTTATTCCCTAAATAGGACTTAATAATGACTTTGTGGGAGGAATAATGTCCAGTAATGATGGACATTTAGTTGAATAATGACTACATTATAATGACCAAAGGTCCTACATTGAGAAATAAAAACATAAGGTCCTATATTGGGAAAGTCATTATTTTTTAGTCCTATTTAGGTAAATTACTCTAGTAGTATTTAAGTTGGTTGGATAGATAACTCAAAAAGAGGAAAAAGATTTACCGTCTTAGTGCTTAAGATATTGCTTCTGCTTGAGTCCGTTTAAGAAGCCTAAAGGGCGGCATTACTTCTGCTCGAGTCCATCGCCGGAACAGTGTAGGTCATTCCCTGTCACCGCCGGTCACTGCCTCTGTCACCGTAGATGCCAAATTGCCGAAATTTCGCCGCTGTGGGTCTGCATCGCTGCACTCGCTGAGGTCACCGAGGATTGCTGCCGCTACTGCTCTCGCCGCTGATTGAGGAGAATTGGAGAAGAAGGTCGTCGCAGCTAAGGATTGGAGAAGAGAGGGGCGGCGGATATCTTTGATCGAGGAGAAAGAAAAATAGGCTAAAAGTGAAAAAGGAAATTAGGAAGATGGAGATGAAATTGGGAAGAGGGAAAACAAATTTAGGAAAAGGGAAATGAAAATCTTTAAAGATTTAGGTTGTGTTTGGTGTGGTTTGATGCTAATATAAGATATGAGTTTTAAAATCTAGGAGAAATAATGTAACACCCTAATCCGTTCAGTTCTCAATAAATCATTTCAAAGTTCATATAATAAATAAATTCTTTATTTATTTTTAATTTGGGTCTCTATCAGGTTCCCAATCAAGATTACATAAATAGTCAACATTCGGATTTATATTCTATGAGATTTATCGAGATTGTGATATTAGATATCAAAACATATTTCATTTCGTCACAACAGATCTAATGAGATCTTATTTGATTAAATATAATCTGATTTAGTATAATTTTGTAGTTATATGTAGTTTTATTTTGGATTGAAAAACTATACCTTTTGAATTGAATATGATTGTAGTCATGCATTTAAAGATTATATCTGGCAAATCAGATACAACCTTGACAAGTAAATTGATTTTTTTGAAGATTAGATCTGATCTTATTGGATTTGAATTTTATTTTATCCGATTAGATCTATTTTGGTCTGATTCGATCTAATTAAATCTGATCTGATGCATTTAAAGTTTATATCACAAAAATAAGACACAACCAACACAAGTAAATTGTTTTTTAAGATAAGATCTGATCTTATTGGATTGGAATTTGATTTGATCTGTTTTGGTCTAATTCGATCTAATTTGATCTGATTTGATGCATTTATAGATTAGATCAGGTAAACAAGCTTGTTTACAAGTAAATTGAATTTTTTGAAGACTAGATCTGATCTTATTGGATTTGAATTTGATTTGATCCGATTAGATCTGTTTTGGTCTGATCCGATATGATGCATTTAAAGTTTATATCACAAAAATGAGACACAACCAACACAAGTAAATTGTTTTTTTAAAGATAAGATCTGATCTTATTGGATTGGAATTTGATTTGATTTGATCTGTTTTGGTCTAATTCGATCTAATTTGATCCGATCTGATGCATTTATAGATTAGATCAGGTACACAAGCTTGTTTACAAGTAAATTGAATTTTTGAAGACTAGATCTGATCTTATTGGATTTGAATTTGATTTGATCCGATTAGATCTGTTTTGGTCTGATCCGATCTGATGCATTTAAAGTTTATATCACAAAAATAAGACACAACCAACACAAGTAAATTGTTTTTTTTAAAAAAATTAGATCTGATCTTATTGGATTTGAATTTGATTTGATTTGATCTATTTTGGTCTAATTCAATCTAATTTGATTTGATCTGATGCATTTATAGACTAGATCAGACAAAGAAAATACGACCTATTTAATTAAATTGTTTTTGATTTATTTCGATTAGATCTGACAAATTGATCGAATATGATTGTAGTCATGCATTTAAAGATTATATCTGGTAAATAAAACACAACCTTGACAAGTAATCTGCTTGTTCTAATTATAGTTATATTTAAAAAAGTTTAATTCGATTTGTTTTAATCTTATTTGATGAGATATGGTTTGATTAGATATCATCTAAACAACATATAAACATGTTAAAGTGAGATATCTTGATTTGATTTGGTATAAACTTATATGTCTGTGTTTTTTTGAAATACAATAATCTTTTAGAAGTAATAATTTTTTGAAAGTATTTTATAAAATAAATATAAAATTATTTGGAAACAATATCTAAATTCAATTTTATTTTAGTGGTCAAAGCGACGAGAAAGGGGGAGTGGTGGTGATCTCCATCTTTGGCGGAAAATTTCCGATCAGACACAGGGGTGGTGGTGGTGATCTCCACCGGCAACGAGGGTAGAAGCGACGAGAAAGGGGGAGTGGCCTCCATCTTTTCTAGCGAAACAGTGGGGAGTCCAGCGAGACTCCTCTGCTCCGACGAAAATAGCAGCGACGGTTGTTAAATATATTCTTACTATATTTAATATTAATGTATATTGTAGCTACCATATTTGTATAGGGTGTATTAATTATTGTTTCCTATTGTCATTAGGAAACTCTTGTATATATACACATGTAATCTCTCATAAGAATTCAATTGAAAATATTCATTCTTCATGGTATCGGAGCTCTAATCTTTCACGGCTTCCCTTCTCCTTCTCCTTCTTGAGTTTCGGCCAAGCCCCCAACCCCCCTCCCTCGTCGGATTCTTCTTCCCCCGGCAACCATGGCCGACTCCGCCTCATCTGGCAAAGTCACCAACAACAACGAAACCTCTTCTCCAAATAATTCTCCTCATCTTGCCTTCACCACCATCTCCAACATCAAACTTCATATCCTGGTTCAACTCAGTTTCTCAGCACCAAATTATAAAAAGTGGAGTCGATTATTTCGTCTCTTGATCCTCCGCTTCAATCTCAAGGGTTTCATCGATGGCACGACCATAGCCTCCTCCGCAGACGATGCTGAATGGTATCAATTTGATGCCTTAATTCAGGGATGGATCCTGTCCACAATCACTGATGAAGTCTCCGATCTTGTGCTTGCCAACAATCTCTCTGCTCATGCCCTATGGAAGGCAATCTACAATCTCTTTCACGACAATAAGCATGCCCGGGCGATGCAACTGGAGCATCGTTTCCGTACAACTGTGAAGGGGCAACTCTCCATCGAAAAATATTGCCGCCTTCTCAAGAACCTCTCCGAGTATCTTGATGATGTGGATGCTCCTGTCACCGAACATGCCCTCGTCCTCCAAGTTCTTCAAGGTCTCCCCCACGACATCCGAGGTCAAGTTCAATTCCTTCATTATCAAAATCCACTCCCGACGTTCTTGGAGGTTCGGTCCGCATTACTCCTCGTTGAACAGCAGCAAAACGACTCCGTCTATGCCGCCGGCGCGCCGTCCACAGCCTTACTCAGCACCGGCGGCGGCGGCAATTATGCGGGCAGCGGCCACCGACAGGACCGAGGCAGCGGCTACGGCAGTTCTGGGAGCAGCGGCAGCGGCGGCTTTGGCGGCGGACATGGCGGCGGCTCCGGCGGACGCGGCAGGAACTTCGGCAGTGGCAGTGGAGGCGGCAACCGCGGCAGAGGTCGCGGCGGCGGTCGAGGTCGTGGCGGCGGCAGCAACCAGCGGCAACCCTC